AACTGGTTCTTGAACAAGAAGTTTATTGAGTACTGATGATGGTGGTGCGGAAGAGTGTGAGATTTCTACTTTTATTGTTTCTTGTACGCACGACAGTGACGACACAGAGCACCACGCATCATTCGCTACAACTAAAAGTTAATTGTCTGATCATTGCCTATAATAGTATGGGCATGAAAATACATGTATTAGTTGCAAAGAATGATGCGTGGTGCTCTGTGTTGTGTATAACTACATGTATAAGATAGCTCTATTCGACTAAATATTGAGCACTCTAGCGAGCCGGAGGACTCTCATTCGTATTTTTCTTCGTAGAAAATAATAATTAGGCCACACTGAAGAAGGTCTGTGGTTCGACTCACCCGACCGACCGACATTTTTCAGCCCGACCGTAACTTTTTTTCGGCGGGCTGTCGTGTGACTGACGTAGATCTACGTGGACTGAACACGTCCACGTACGTCTACGTGCTGTGCAGCGTGAGTCTGCGGACGCAGGCGGCTCATTTTGGACTTGACTTGTAGTTGTACTGCAGTGCAGTGCAGTGAGTGGTACGACTGCTGCCTTGTGCTGGTACATGTAGTAGAGTCTACTCGATACGACCACCGGCAGACTGGCGAGACTTATTTTGAAGTGACCGTCCGGTTGAGAGTGATTGCCTCGTTCCAGATTAAGGACGGCCTTCTGTTTTGGGATGAAGGACAGACGAGATTGCACTTTCCTCGTGTATTGGGAACGATATTTCACCTGTACCGGTAAGTTGCTGCTCCATGTGTGCAAGCACAGGAAGCGTCGATGGAAAAAGCCCATGTATTCGTGCACGCCGACACCAAACTAGCAATACATGTACCGGTACATTGTACAATTTGTACTTCGAAGTAGTTCCCGAACTTACTTTCAACTCGCATCGTTCTTCATTTGCTTGATGATTTGGACAGTCAGAGTCACCGCTTGAAGTTATTCTCTTCTCGTTCCAGAGCTACACAATGTTTCAAAGTATTAGCCAGTGATCCCTTTATACAACATGTATGGCATAACACTGCGTAATAATGCCGATGTACTGGGTGTCTAAAGGCAGTACAGTGTATTTACATGTACTAAAAAATATATTTAAAAAAAAATCCGCCCGCCCGCCCGTAAAAAAAATGTCCATGTTAGTCAAACCACACACCTTCTTTAGTTTGGCCTTAGTTCTTTGCCTCCGAGAAAGTAACACGTTAGGCCCCGGTCACACATGCACTTTTTTGGCGGTTCCGCCAAAGCGTAACTTACTTACGCTTCAGCCGTTGCCTCGGCAACGGCGGAGGCGTAAGTTACGCTTTGGCGGAAAGTTTGGATTTCGCTACGCCAAAAAAATGCGAGCGGGCCCTCCGCTTTCGCGGATCCGCTTTGGCGGAACCTGCATGGTGATGGCTTTGGAGTTTGGTGTGCTACTTCTGCACTGAGTTCTGGTGTTGTTTGGTTGCCGTTTGGTATTCAGTTTTCATATTGTTCTTCTTTGCCAATGAACTGTACGTTTTGGAGATCTCGCAAGCAATACTGCATCGTTATGAGTGGATAGTTGGTGAGGGAATAACTCCGAATCCGTCTCCCAACGAGTCATTGGCCCCGATCGCGGACGATCTCCAACTCTCTCCTTCTCTCTCCAAGCAATACGTCCACCAGAGTATGCAACACTAGGACTGCAACCAGGGAGTAGTAGAGTACTCTGCCACACCCTCACTGCAGCTGCAGGCATCCACGCAGTCGCTGGGTCGATGATGGATCATGGAGGACTCCTCAGGAGGCAACGACACCTTACCCTGCTATAAAACTATTTGAATTTGATATTGATGTAAACTAAACTAATATTCAAATACACCCGTGCTGGGCTGCAGTGAATGCGCCCCAAATCCAGGACGGTGTACTTGACAGGAGACATCCAGCAGCCTGTCAGCGATCCACGATAGCTCTACTTGTACAAGCGAAGGTCGCTTCAACTCGGACAAGAACATCTAAAATTTCATAGGACGTGCTGCATTTGCATTCCCTTCGCCAAAGCGGAGGGTTGAGCAACTTGAGGAGCACAGTAGTCTACATGTATGTGTGACCGCTGCATCGTGTGGTCCGCCAAAGCGGCTGCGGTAGTTCCGCTTTCCGCCTCCGCAAAAGCGGTGCAAGCTTTTCATGTGTGACCGCGGCCTAAGGCCGCGGTCACACATGAAAAGCTTGCACCGCTTTTGCGGAGGCGGAAAGCGGAACTACCGCAGCCGCTTTGGCGGACCACACGATGCAGCGGTCACACATACATAGTTGGCCGTCACCATGTCATGTAGACCTACCAGTCACTCACCATGGTCACGCGCTGCCAAGCATGTGCGTAGCACTGCTCGACCCGACTGCAGCAGGCAGAGTGCATGCAGCGCATACTGTACAGGTCAGTGCTGTGCTGGTAGATCTACTTGACACATCACTACATCACATGACTGTACAATGTAATTGTTAGATTGACAGCATGAAACAAGGCGGAGGACACTGTGTTCGGAAACAGTGACCTTTCTACAACTTTCCACGGTTGGCAGAGCCCCGGTCCCTGCGGACCATTTTATTTGACCCTCGTTATGCTAGGGGGTTAGGAGACTACTCCTGATGTCGTCTTGTTGTCTTCGCTCTTTTTTAACTTGTATAAAAACTTCTATAATAGCAATAAAAAGAACAAATTCTGCAGTCATCGCCACACTACAACGAAGTCATGAAAGTTTACCAGAATTAATTTTCTTGTCACATTCATCAGTGGAAAGTCGTGACTGAAGAGTAACCATGCTGAACAATGATTAAATATACATTCAATGATGTGTTACGAGAACAAAATACAGTGCCAAAATAGAAAGAGGGAAGGTGAGACAATAGCAGTGAAGTGAGAGCTAAGTGCAACGGTGGGTGAAAAACTAATAATTATAACGCTAAAACTGTGTAGTGAGACAAACAATCATGCTGTGCACCTACGAAAACAATTTTAACGCAACTACATGTTTCTTCTGCTTACAAAGATCAGGCTTATGCAAACGAATACAAACAGCCTCAAGTACTTTCAACTGACTAGCATACCGTGCACGACAAAGAACAGAAAAACTAAAATCATCATACACCTGCAGACACTTAGGGTGAGACAACAAGTGAAGAAAAACGGCAGACTTCTTACGATCACAATCACCATCTGATTCCTCGTCTCCAACAACCGCAACCTCGTCCTCCGTTTCATCTCCCAACTCGTCCTCAGTGTCGTCCTCCGTGTCATTCTCCTCATCAACACTGATCGGTCCCAGGCTCGTTTGACGTTGTTTAACCTCCGTTCGTTGACTCCTCCTTTGATCTTGATGGCAACTTGTTACCATTGTTGTTGTTGTTGTTGTTAAATCTTGTGTTCCCAGTGTCCTCGCCGGTGCTTGATCTCCAGTACTGTAATAATTCATTGAATAATTAGCCGTTGATCGTCTAGGTCTTTGAATGTTGATTGTGTTACTTTCTTTGTTGAATTCCGTTCCCTTCAGCCTTCTTTCTCGTTGTTCACAATCAGTGCTTGCCTCATCCATATATGCACGTGCCACGGACACCACAGACTCAGCCCCAGCACCGCCGATGATAGATGTAGGTGGCGGTTCTGGGGGAGGCAACGGCAAAGACGGCGATGAGGGCATTACCTCATCACAGCGTCCACTTTGGTCTTGAGCTGAATGTTGTTGTGGTGTGTTATCTTGTGTTGTTATGGTGCATTGTGTTGTGGTGACAATATGCCCATTACCCGACTCCAAGGCTCTCGATACGGGTAATGGAGGCACTATTGCCGATGACGGAAATTGTGCTAAGCCTGATCTTTGTAAGCAGAAGAAACATGTAGTTGCGTTAAAATTGTTTTCGTAGGTGCACAGCATGATTGTTTGTCTCACTACACAGTTTTAGCGTTATAATTATTAGTTTTTCACCCACCGTTGCACTTAGCTCTCACTTCACTGCTATTGTCTCACCTTCCCTCTTTCTATTTTGGCACTGTATTTTGTTCTCGTAACACATCATTGAATGTATATTTAATCATTGTTCAGCATGGTTACTCTTCAGTCACGACTTTCCACTGATGAATGTGACAAGAAAATTAATTCTGGTAAACTTTCATGACTTCGTTGTAGTGTGGCGATGACTGCAGAATTTGTTCTTTTTATTGCTATTATAAAATTGTTGTCTCCACGTCGATTATTTGCATAAAAACTTCTTTTTCTTTTTCTTTTTCTTTCCAACTTCTGCCCATGGCGTCCTTCTCTCAGTAGCTGAATGCATTGAGTGCAGTCCTTCCAGGTAGCTCTTCTTGAAAAAAGGTTAAGAAATGTATTGACGATGGATCGCTACCGCAACTGACAACCTCAGCGTCTCCTCGGAGGCTCCATTCGCCATACCTTAACAACAGAGGTAAGACGTACTTCCTCCGCTTCATTAAAATTGTCGCTTCGCACATCGCAATATTTGTGACTTGGCTCGTCTTCGTCAGACAGTCGGAATCGCTGTTTCCTGTGTTCGAACACTGGTGCGACCCTTCCTGCGCAATGTCTACTTGTTACTGAAGCCGTGGTGGTCTCGGACTTTGTCGGAGCTCTCTTCCGCACCAAGCAAATTCATCCGGCTCCGCACTATTCCGCCCCTGAGCGCATTTCGTTTTCTGGAGTTCGTGCCGTCCCACATCGTTCGAGTGGGCATTTATCAAGACTGCAAGCCCGGGTATAAGAATCCTGGTATGTCTCCTGAATATGAAATGCTGAAGTTGACGATGGCAAGAACAAAGTGGTCTCAAATTCGTAAAATGCGCTACTTGTGGCGCATGTTGCTGCGAAGGTAGCAGGTCTGAAAACACCGACAAAATCAACGAAGCGCTTGCCAAGGAAAGAAGGTGCGGAACTGCTTACCCTACCCTGCTGGAAAGTCGTTACAGTGTACTTGAAAAATGCTAGCTTTCCTTCATCCCCTGCCACCTGTAGGCATGGATTGCTTGAAAACGAAGTTTCTTTCCCTGAATTTGAACGCGCGTCTTCTTCATCGTATTCTTCAGTGCTGAAGGGTCTGCCTCAAGCTCTGATGAAGACGTCGACCTTAGCTGCAGGTGCAGCGAAGCGGGAGGCCAAAAACTAAAGCTTGGTCCGTCGACAATGCTCTGCCTCAATTTCTAGCTGATTTCGTTGCCCCTCGAGTGGACAAAATAAATTTGAAAAATCGCTCTGGGAAGCGACAGGAAGTAAGTAGAGCTTTCTTCCTTACCTTTAAATTCTTATGATATACACATAAATAATGCATAAAAAATTACATTGCTGAGAATGTAGTTTCCAGGTTCATAAAGAATTCAGCAACAAAAATTAATATTGAACATACATGTTAGTATCTAGCTCTTCCGTCAATGCATCCAACGTGTGTACCCAAACGTATAAAAAAGTCAATTCCCTCAAGTTTTTTTAGGAAACAATAAGATCAACAACGAAGTGATTTACAAAAAACATAAGTAGGTGACGTGACCAACGTTTAGACGGGGTGTTCCGACGTGGTGAAGGCCTACCCATGGCCACGTCGGACATCACCAACCCCGTCTACAGAGAGCACCTTCTCGCGACAGTGTCATGGTGATGACAAAAACTGTTTACAGCTGACGAGCTAAGAGAAGGACGCCATGGGCAGAAGTTGGAAAGAAAAAGAAAAAGAAGTTGTTATGCGTTAAAAAAGAGCGAAGACAACAAGACGACATCAGGAGTAGTCTCCTAACCCCCTAGCGTAACGAGGGTCAGAACCGGGTGCGATACCCACATGGCTCAAATGGTCCGCAGGGACCGGGGCGCTGCCAACCGCGGAAGGTTGTACTTCGAGTAGTAAGGTCACTGTTTTCGAACACAGTGTCCTCCACCTTGTTTCATGCTGTCAATCTAACAATTGCGTGAACTACAACAAGGTTTACCTAATACTGGTTTACCAGTTTTGGATTATACTGAAGTATCATGACTGTCTATGCATGCATGCCACCATGATTCATGAACGATGAAGTACGATGAACGCGTAGATCCACCATACCACTGTATCCATCATGGCTGGATTTTTTGCCGACGACTGTAGTAGTAGAGTCTTTGATCCTGCGCCCAGTAGGTATACATGTAGGTGGCGGTGATTTGTTAAAAAAATTAAACATTACATGAAAGTAAAATGTTATGGTGAAAAAGGAGAAGGAAAATATGTTAAGAGTTATGACTAACTGTCCACCAACGTAACCAGATCTTATACGGTCAGCGAGTGCGACAAAATGGCACAAAACTGACTAGGAGTACTGAGACATTCGGAGACCTGACACCTAGCTCCAACGCTTCTCCATATAAGATCTGGTTACGTTGGTGGACAGTTAGTCATAACTCGTAACATTTTTCCTTCTCCTTTTTCACCATTATTTTCATTGGCTCACCATCCGAGTTGGAAGTAAAAAAGGCTATCATTCCGTTGACCTGGCGAGTTTTGAAGTGTGCATGGCCTCATTCTGTCACTCTTTATGTCCTCTATCCACGTACTAGTACGGACTTCTTGATCGCACAGCACAAGCATGAGAGACACAGTGTGGGGTTGCTTTGCATGCATTTTTTCAGGCAGAAAAAGTGTGTACACAATTTTACAAGTCAGCAAAATAGGGTCTAACATCAACAAATATGACCTAAATGTGTCAATAAGCTTGAAATGGGAAATCAGTTTGGTTTTGCAGGTTGCCCAACATTATTGGTTTCTGTAGGTCGTCAACTCCCGTTGTAAACGGTAGAGTGTCTTTGACCGCCTGCCGGCATTGTAGAGCATGAGCATGCAGACCAATATCTTGCTGCTCCATTTCTTTCAACTTGCTGTGCATCGTCATGTGCGAAATAACCCGTCCCACTAAACAAAGATACCAGCCATTATGTGTGCCAGCCGTCCCACGACAGGGTGCCCACGTGCATCTGAGCCACAGTGCACTTAGCTAGTCATACTGACAGTGTCCGGGCTTACATACTCTCCAAGACAAGTGCAGCGACTCCTTAACATGATTCATATAGACTTCTGTTTTGGAAGAAGACTACAGACCACCCTCAATGGGTGCCCCGCCGCCAACACCCAACATACATTCATGCCGCATTTCCTGCATAAGAGTTTGCCGTCGTGCATATCTACCAGCACTTTTGAGGTAGCAAGCTGAGTTTGATACGTATATCTACTGAACAGCTGATCATTTACCTGTATGCCATAAGCATCAGCAGCTTCGGATTTGGATTTGAATCTCCTTTCATGATAGGTGAGTGAAATACACCCACTGTCAAAATTGCAGTTGCTGACCTGCACCTTTTTGGCTAATCTCCTCTTCAGCCCTGCTACTTTTGACGGTGTGGCAGACTCAATGCCGGCCTCGGGGACAAGCTTTGGGTTTCCACCTGCCGTAAAATATGCTTGCTGGCTCTTGGACGTCCTTCAAGTATCCATTGAGGGATATTTTACCACATTGACCACAAATTCACGAATTTCGATCCATGATTGATAACTCACAAGGCCGTGGAAGAAAAAATTCCTCAAAACGCTGCTGATGCTTACAAACTACATTACAATGGCAAATCACTACTAGTCTGTCGAGCAAAAACACTTCCCGGGAAGAATGCAATCGCCCTCAACAATGATATTAATTTTTACTCGATTTGTAAAAATAATATGCAATGTAATGTTTTTATAAAATGACCCCATGTACGCGTAGCGCGCAGAGCTATTCCGTTCATGTGATCACTGACATCAGATTTTCACTCACTGAACTGAGAAACTGGGCTTTCGACTTTGGCACACACACACACACACCTGTTGTGTTATCTTCAAAGCAATGGACGAGACGGCTGAGCGGACCGTCGCAAAGCCCATGGCTCTGCTGCCTTCACTGATCAAGGCAAAAGCGAAGTTGTTAGAACAGGCCGAAAATAATTCAGGAGTTCAGCTGAGCGGTGGGATCGCTTCTGATGGACTCCTTCCGCTCGACCAGATATTCGTAAACTTAGCGCTGATATCAGAAAACTGGGAATTGAAAAAAGAATTTGATGAAACGTTCTCCACATATGCCGAAAGACGTGAACACGCAGTTCAATTTAGCGAAGCCGATCGAATTGAATTAAAGAACCTGTTTCGTGCCGCGAGTCCGAGTGTTGGCCATTCAACGGGAAAAACTGCAGCAGCAGCAGCGACCGAGCGGGGAAAGCTGTGTGACAAGGTGTTACGGAATGTACTGGCGTATGGATCTGCTGGTAGTGGCAAGACCACAGTGTATCTGCTCATGGTTCTATACCTGTGGAGCAGAGGCGAACTATGGCGGGAGGAATTCGATCTTGTCGTGGGATTGGAGCTTCGTGGAGACGAAGTGAGAGGAGCCACTAGTCTTGCTGAGCTGTTGGCTATGAAACTGGTGAACCAGCGCCTGTCGCATGCTGAGATATTGGAGCTTGCAGGCTACTTCAAAGATTCTCCAAGTCGTCTTTGTCTTGTCATGGACGGCTTGGATGAATGTGATTTCGGCAGCTGCAGTAAGTTCATGAGACACTTGCTGAAACGTGAGGGCATGGTGAAGACACACGTCATCGTCACAAGCCGTCCATGCCAGGATGCATATCAACTATCGCAGAGTGGCATATATCAGCAGAAGATCCAAGTACTGGGTTTCTCGCCGGAGAACGTGAGGGAGTATGCAGAGAAGGTTCTCGGTGCGGAACGGGCTAAAATGCTGCTGGCAGAGCTGCAGAGCAAGCTGGATGTGTCATGTCTTATGGCAACTCCAATGTTTGCAGCTCTAACATGCGAGCTTTTCAAGAGCCGCAAAAGTGCAGCACCTCCCTGTACGAATCGTTGCTGCGCCTAGTCATAGAGCGTGCTGGTGGTGCGGTTTGCGAGTCGATTTCACTGGCACCCAACAAAGTGGTCCAGTCGCTACAGGAACTGGGCCGTTTTGCGTTTCGAATGCTGCTGCTGAAAAGGATGGCGTTCAACACATCCGACATCATCAGCTCCCACTTGCGCATGGATTCAATCAACTTTGGTCTTCTGCAAACATGCCAGGCCACAACGTCTACGGACGCTCGGCAATACCGCTTCTGTCATCTGTCACTGCAAGAGTTCCTGGCGGCAAGGTTCATGGCAGAGTGCATAGTGCAAGAACGACGTCACGTCATTACACTGGTACAGCGACTGGGCGCGTACGATGGCCATATGGCCATATGGCAATGTTCTGGAAGTTTCTCATTGTTCTATGCCCGGAAGACGTGTCGCTGGCCATCATGGAGGAGCTATGGCGTGTGCAGTGTGCAGATTCCATACCACTGGATCCTAGCCGTGAAGCCTACCGATGCACCAAACAATCTACCGTATTAGCCAGTCTCGCAGGAGAGGAATCGGCTGCCAATGAGACCGCTAAAGCCACGGAACACACTGCTACTGCCGCTAGACGTGCTGCCACCACCGCTAAGCTAGCTGAGGAGATGCACAACGACTGGAGTGTCCTGACCAGTGAGATGGAGCTGGCAAATGTCCACGGCTGCCTATGCGAAGTATTGAAGGCTGAGCACATGACAGTCCTCGCCGACATTCTCCTTATTCCTCGGCATGACCGTGGCAAGGGTCATGGTGAGCATCGTGCGCGCGATTCCATGCCCATCAGCCGAGAGCCCACAGATGAGCTATTCCTGAAGACTCTCCTGACGGTGTGGATGGAGAACAGCAGTCTTGCAAATGCCACTGTGCTGTTGGAAGCGCTATCTCAGGTGGGTACCGAGCTGGCGCGGCCGTGCAAGAGTCTCCTTCATCTCGCTGCTACGCTGCTGAGCCATGAATCCTTGCAAGCTGCTCCTTCTCGTATTGTAAGTCTAGCTTATGCCGCCCCTGCTCTTTGGTATTCGCTTACACGCAGATTGTTTGATCATCTTGTGGTGGCATATCATGACCATGCTGAGTATCGCGGTGTGCCCAGCAACTGGACGTGCCCTTTCTTTTGTGCTGTGCTTGCATCGAAGCCCTATCTATACGGCGTTTCTCTTTCTTGTCAGGAATGTGTTGCTCTCAGTTCTTTACTGTGCGGCTATACATGTTTTGATTTGGAGGAAGTCCACCTCATCTGGTGTAGCATTGGCGATGAGTCATTTCACCAGTTATCAGTAGGCTTACAGAGGTGTAGCAGTGTATGTGTACTAGATCTATGGGGGAATGCTATTCACGATGGTCAGGCATTGTCCGCCGTGATTTCAGCCATGTCTGCTAGTCTTGTGAAGGTGGCGGTGGGTAAAAACCCTGTTGGCGTGAGTGGCTTTGCGTCGGTGTGCCGTGCACTCAGTCAGTGTATGAATGTGCACACTGTCAATGTCATGTATATGACTATTCATGGTGTTGCACCATTGTCCGTAGTCTGTGATATGCTGGAGCACTGTACACAGCTGGAAGAGTTGTTTTTGAATGGGAATGTGTTTGTGAGTAGTGAGGATGATGAGTTTAGATTCATTGAAGCAGTTGAGGTGTGTACACAATTATGTGATCTGTCATTGGACGGCTGTGGCTTGAGTGAGAATATTTGTTCTCAACTTGTCGCTGTGTTCACGGAGAGGAAGTGTCGGGCTGGCTTGAGCGGTGTGTCAGTACGCGAACTAGTTGAGTGAGTGGACAATTTAACAATACATGTATATGTTGTGTTGTAAAGCTCATCACAAAGTCATGTAAACTCAGTAAATGGTTGTTAATTCTTGAGACACTGATGTAAATGTTCCTAGTATTTTTTCCTGTGTATACCCCCTACCAATAAACCCCGACCATCAATAGGTTTCTTGTCTGCTTTTCTTCTTGTACGTATTGTGTTTTTGCTTGCTACTTGCCTGCATGCTGCACATTACTCTAATGTCAAAGGCGGTTCTGAAGACATTTCTTTTGCTTTCATGCTTTCTTATTTCATATCTGCTGCTGCTATGCTACGTTGTTCTTCCCTCATTGATGTATGAAATGCTAGCAATTTCTATATGTGTTTGCAATGTAGTATGAAATTGTATGAGTGTATGTCATTGCGTGTGCAATCACGGTGAATTGGATATGAAGATGAGAGGATACAGGTTGCGATGATAGTTGTGTGTGTGTGTGTGTGTGTGTCCTATACGACTTACTTGTCGAGAAAAATATTTTATTTACGAGTTGGTCTGCCTGGTAGGGGTGCGCGGATTATGCTCGCACGCACCCGATATTATGCTTTCGGGCATTTCCCGCGGAACTTCGAAAGTATTCTCCCAAAACATCGAAAAAATTCTCCAGAATTCCCCCCCAAAATAAGAATCCCAGCATGAACCGTGCCTTGCGCATGCTCTTTAGTATGCAAAATGGACGGTCAGGCACGTGATAACTGCATGCAGGATCTACACTACGTACATGTATACGTACTAGATCTACATCTGACTGTACACAGCTACTATGTCGTAGTGCTGCATGTGCATGTACGTAGACCTACGTGCGTCCATGGATGCGCGCTTGTGCTCTGGCAGGTCAAAATTGACAGAATTCCCCCAAAACTCTTCTGAAGGTCAATGGATCTGGCAAAAGATCGAAAGAATTCCCCTAAAATTCCCAAAATTTTCTCGACGATAGTATTCCCAAATTATTCCGGGAATAATCCGCGCACCCCTACGGCCTGGCCGCAAAGCTAAACGGTCACGAAGTAAATTTCGAGCAAGTGAACAGGTTTTCCTACTGTTGTGGACATGGAAATCCGGTCGCACGTCTCGCGGCCCCAGAGCGCTGGCCATGCAGGCGTGGATAAGCGGTAGATCTACACACATGCATTTATGCGATGTAGCGCGCTAGTCGCATCGGATCAACATGTGCACTGCACACAGCGTTCTGACTTCTGAGGGCGCCGGCCCCGGTCAATCGACTGGATGTCCGCTACAGCCTACAGTACAGACTCAGTGTAGTTGGGAAGAAAGCCACCAAAATTAATATCGCGCCAGTGTGAGCGAAGTATTAGAATTCTAAATTCAACCTATAGCCCGATTCGTTTTGATCAATATGTCAACGTCCGAGGCGGAAACGCTGTCGACCGTGGTATGTCAGTTGTTCTTGGAAGCTGGAAGAATGAGAGGGGAGGAAAGGTTGTCCAGGCTCAGTCGACGCAAGCCGTTCGGGTTGCGCTCAGTGAAAGTGGCGGAGAAGACTGAAGTGCTTGGTATCAAGGTGAGGGGTTCTGAAGAAAAACAAAGCAACATAAATTTACTTGGCACGGTGCACAAACCTGGCTCGATGTTCAATGTCTGACAGCTAGATTGTGCGCTAACAACTGTCCTTTTTCACTTTCTGCTCCGGCTGTGCGTGTCCCTATGAAGAGGGTGTCTGTGTTCGGACCAGGGAGTAGTAAAATACATATATTACTACTCCCTGGTTCGGACTATGTGTATGCACAGTTGCACACACGGTACGGGCAGATTCAGATTTTGGTTGGAGCATCTACAGTAAAACCGGAAATTTCGGTGGACATTTTCGCTAACTTCGGTTGAGGTAATTTTTACCTAAAATAGAACGCGACCTAACATTCAACCATGCAGTGCAACACAGTGCGCAAAATGCAATTTTGGATCTGCGAAACTGGTTTACCGAAATTTTCACATTACCGAACCGTTAATTTTGGGAAATAACAAAAATATTACACCACACTAAATTCCCAGTTTTACAGTAGTAGAGAGGTGCCGCATAATGTAATTACGTTATTAAAAATGTAGTCGATCTACGGAAAGTTTTACGTAGACTGCATGCGCATCTGTGTTCCGCCATGCAGAGTTTTCAAACCACGCAGCTGCCCTTGGCAACTCCGAACGCGGCAGTGTATGACCAGATCGACCTGGGGAGAGAGTCATAAATTTGTACCCCAATCCACTTACGGACCAGCTACGTTATCAGAGCCCTATCTACGTACTCTACGTAGACGACTTTCCGTAAGTGGAATGCAAACTCGCGAATTCACGGGTTTTTCCCGCCCACTAACGTAATGTTGCTGAACTTTACGTAGCGCGGAACCTCTCTAGTATCACACTCAGAATGCATTGCTTGTGTGTGCTGCACTTGTACACACATACTGTCGTGGACATGGAAATCCGGTCGAATGTCCGGTGCCGGCGCCCTCAGCGCATACAGAACGTTGTGTGCAGTGCACATGTGTTGATCCTATGCGATCAGCGCGCTGCAGCGCATAGATTCATGTGTGTACCGATTACTCACGGCTGCATGGCCAGCGCCCTGGGGCCGCTAGATTGCGACCGGATTCCCATGCCCACGACAGTACCATTGGACCTTTGGAAAGACAAAGGCAGTGATAGCTTTTAGGCGGGATGGTGATTCCTTCGAGACGAGGCATTCTGATAACAGAACCCGCGAGAGGATCTGATAGAAGCTTCGCTCGCACCGTCGGTTACTGTAAGTCCACAAATATTCGGCGCACATTTATTTTTGGCTATTTTTGGCCTGGTCATATTTGGCCGAAAATTTGTTGCGGCAGAAATTTTGTTTTGCAAGGTTCAGTGTGACAGTGTATACAGGCCGCAGCAGAACAGACCTAAAATTTGTTGCAGCCGAAATGTGTTTCAGCTCTGGGAAGCCGAAATTTGAATGGGCCAAAAATTTGTCGACGTACAGTACACATGATTAACTGTTAATCTAGCTAGAAGTAGTCCATGGTTAACAGTTATCTACGTGTATACTTCTAATAGAAAGCAGGGAGTCGTAAAATACCGGTATTTTACGACTCCCTGATAGAAAGTACATGAGCACACATATTTTACGACTCCCTGATAGAAAGTACATGAGCACACATACATGCGCACTTGTACTTATTGTCGTGGACACTGACATCTGATGGAGTGACATCACCCTTACTGCTTTTAGCGCATACACGCACTGTAGTTCGGAAGCACACTGTAAAAATGGACCAGTTGTGCTCGCAGCTGCAAGGTCCGCGCCCTGTGGCCCCTCGACTTCTCAACGGATTTTAACTCTTTAAGAGCCGCCCCATACTTGAATGCGTCGTAAACGACGCATTCAAATGCAAAACTTCAAAAGATCGTAACTCAGTCCAATCTCGCTCTAATCCAGTGATCGAAATATCCAGGGCGAAGAGAAAACTCTCACCTGTCGGGAGAAACAATCCGCGAAGCGCTGCGAGCAACGGTTCCTGAGATAAATCACTCGTAAGTTGAGCCGCGATCGCGGCAATTTCAAAAGCGCGCAGTGCGACTTTAGTATTGAGAATTTTGAGACTTTTCGTCACGCTGGTTTACTCGAATTTGCACGGGTTTCACTGTTGATATTGTCAAGAGTACACAGCGAAAAAATTGGAACTCCACGATCGAGCAAAATGAAATATCTGGAGCGGGACGCAATTGGACGCATTTGGGGCATTTTTCGCACCGTCGCTGCGATCTAGCGCTGGATAGACAGTGTGCTGGCGATCATGATCGACCTCATTCTCTTCCTCGCGGAGACCTTTCCAGGAAGCCCTAGATTGTGAGGATTGAGTGAGTAGAACTGAAGCTATAATCCAAGTAACACGAAAAAATGCAGAATTTTGAAATTTTCCCGTTGCTCTTAAAGGGTTAATATCCACAGCAGTACATGCTCACTGCCGAAACTGATCAAGTGGGTCTCCCCGGGAGAGAGGAGAGAGACTCAAAAGTCAAAAGGGATCTTGGAAAGATGACTCAATTGGCTATTGAACCGCCCAACGCCCTGAAATCCCAAAACTCCGGGTGGATAAATGATCCCACTTTTGGGCTCACCACACCTCAGTAAGTCCGTGAGGAAAGGTGCAGAAAAGGATTGACGACATGAGGGTATTCATCTCGGGATCCAACTGCAGTTACCTCTGCCCCCTCCCTCCCCCTATAGAAAAATGTGCGCACACACACCGATGTGCACACACACACACACACATACACACACACACACACACACACACACACACACACACACAAACACACACAGACACACACAGACACAAACACACAGACACACACGCACACAGACATACACACACACACACATAATTTGGCACTCCTGTGAATAGTTTAGTCACAAAGTGAAGATTCACGGGTAAAAAGCCTTAAACTTGGAGGTTTTTTCAGCTTTCAGCAGCCCTGGGCGAGTTCTTTAGAGAAATGTGGCTCTTTTTCTTGGTGCACTTGCCTATGTCCAGCTATACAACGAGATGAGAATGGTCAATGTCAGTTTCTGAGCTGCGAACGGGCAGAAAGGTGAAAAAGTGTCAGATTTTGACCATTTGTGCCCACCTTTCAATTTCAATGTACCTCTCTATGACATGACCCAGCTGTAATGTCCGTGGTCGAATTGATTTGATTTTTGGTTTGCTTGTAGAGCGCTGGCACCCACATTCAGTGACCAAGAACATTTGGCACTGCTGTGAATAGTTTAGTCGCAAAGGGAAGATTCACGGGTAAAAAGCCCCAAACTTGGACATAGTTTATTTTTCAGCTTTCAGCAGCCCTGAGCGAGTTCTTTCGAGAAATGTGGCTCTTTTTCTTGGTGCACTTGCTTATGTCCAGCTATACAACGAGATGAAGATGGTCATTGTCGGTTTCTGATCTGCGAACGGGCAGAAAGGTGAGAAAGTGTCAGATTTTGACCATTTGTGCCCACCTTTCAATTTCCATGTACATCTCTATAACATGACCCAGCTGTAATGTCCGTAGTAGCATTGGTTCGATTTTTGGTTTGCTTGTAGGGCGCTGGCACCCGCATTCACCCCCAAAAAGTTGGCACTGCTGTGAATAGTTTAGTCGCAAGGTGAAGATTCACGGGTAAAAAGCCCCAAACTTGGAGATAGGTTATATTTCAGCTTTTAGCAGCCCGGGGCGAGTTCTTTAGAGAAATGTCGCTCTTTTCCTTGGTGCACTTACCTATGTCCAGATATACAACGAGATGAGGATGGTCATTGTCATTTTCGGAGCTGCGAACAGGCAGAAAGGTGAGAATAGGTCAGCTTTTTGACCATTTGTGCTCAACTTTCAATTTCAATGTTCCTCTCTATTACAAGACCAGCTGTAATGTCAGTCGTCGTATTGATTTGATTTTTGGTTTGCTTGTAGGGCGATGGTACCCGCATTCAGTGACCCTGAAAATTTGGCACGGCTGTGAATAGTTTAGTCGCAAAGTGAAGAATCACGGGCAAAAAGCCCCAAACTCGGAGATAGGCTATTTTTCAGCTTTCAGCAGCCTGGGCGAGTTTTTTTGAGAAATGTGGCTCTGTATCTTGCTGCACTTGCCTATGTCCAGCTATACAACGAGATGAGATCGGTCATTGTCATTTTCTGAGCTGCGCACCATTACACGCAAATGAGAAGATGTATAAAGATAACCGCAATCAGTAATACAAGCTGGATCGACATTTGTGTACACTGTATTCATGTATTGTAAAACTGTGGAGACAATGTGCAATAAAACGATGAAAAATGTGAAGAAATTGTGTAGAGAAAGAAAGGGATTCAAACAAGTTTTCGTACAACACTCATCAGGAATCATCGTTGTACTAAAGGACACTGAAACAAAAATTGAACTATTATAGAAAATCTAAGTTAGAGAAATAACACTAAGAGCAACAACAGTGAAATTTACAAGTGTGAATTTTAACAATCAAAGCGAGAAATGAACAAAGGAGAAAGGAAGGAAAGACAACGTGATAACACATAACAGCAGTACATTACACCTAGAACATTAACGGCCAAGCTTGTCCAGCTATACAACAAAATCTAACTTAGATTTTCTATAATAGTTCAATTTTTGTTTCAGTGTCCTTTAGTACAACGATGATTCCTGATGAGTGTTGTACGAAAACTTGTTTGAATCCCTTTCTTTCTCTACACAATTTCTTCACATTTTTCATCGTTTTATTGCACATTGTCTCCACAGTTTTACAATACATGAATACAGTGTACACAAATGTCGATCCAGCTTGTATTACTGATTGCGGTTATCAAATTGTTGTCTCCTCGCCGTTTGTATAAAGATATGCAAATGATATACATGTACTGTTAAGCGTCATGGCCTCGCCACTTTCCGTGACATCACAAGATATCCCGGGAAGTGATAGTGATGTCATGGCTGTCTGTATAGTACTTGAAGTAAAATATTGTATACAACATAATCCTATATCATGGTGAATGATCTCAGTGCGTGGTATCCGCACATGCTGGTCAGGAACTGAGAATACAGTAAGTCAGTATTGATGCAGGGCAATTGGAACTTAACTTGATATTGCATGCGAATTATTTTCAATTCTACTCTTGATATCCACCTCAGTGTTAAAGGGGAAGTTAAGGCAAAAATTAAAATTTCACCAGTTGTAGTCTTCGGGGTGCTGAGTCGAATGGTCTTGGTCCGAGGAAGCTGAGACGCTCCCTTCCTACTTGAATCCCAATCGAACTCGCGCACTTCCACCGAAACTGGGTGACTGCGCCCTACTAGATGGGGATTTGTATGCAAAATGTCACTAAAAGCGCCATTTCGTTCTTATAAAAGCACGGATGACCGCGATTGGCCCATATGTTGTAGTCTTTTGGACGCTGAGTCGACTGGTTTTGGTCCGAAAAGGCTGCGATGCAGCGTTCCTCCTTTATTCCCAATCGAACATGGTTGAACAAGTGGTCACGTGGTCCTGAGTGCCCAAATCACCTGGTCACCACGCCAGCAGGTGACAACTTTCACACCAAGGTTCAACTCGAGTTCAACTCGAGTGACAGGACTGCACCCAAAAAAGGTCAAACAGGCTAGTAAGTTGTACCCTGCAGGCACGGTGACCAGGTGACTGGCGTACGCAGGAGCACGTGACCGCTTGTTCAACCATGTTCGATTGGGAATAAAGGCGGAACGCTGCATCGCAGCCTTTTCGGACCAAAACCAGTCGACTCAGCGTCCAAAAGACTACAACATATGGGCCAATCGCGGTCATCCGTGCTTTTATAAGAACGAAATGGCGCTTTTAGTGACATTTTGCATACAAATCCCAATCTCGTAGGGCGCAGTCACCCAGTTTTGGTGGAAGTGCGCGAGTTCGATTGGGATTCAAGTAGGAAGGGAGCGTCTGAGCTTCCTCGGACCACGACCATTCGACTCAGCACCCCGAAGACTACAACTGGTGAAATTTTAATTTTTGCCTTAACTTCCCCTTTAAGAAAAATGAACGTGTGTGTCCCACGCAGGGAGTAACACTACCGTTCACTAATTTCTGTCTTCATAACAATTAATATATTGAGCAGTCTTAGATTCAAGCCTGGCTATTTATGAGGACGCAATGTGTCCCAACCGTGTACATGTATCATATCCGTGCTATATTTTTCACCTTCCCCTTTTCATTCCCTTAATTAAATACATGTAGGTCGATTTTTGATGAGGTATTCAGCATGCTGCCAGTTTGGAGAGAAATTCAGTACTACACCAATTTAATTAAGTCTTAAAGGGGAAGTTAAGGCAAAAATTAAAATTTCACCAGTTGTAGTCTTCGGGGTGCTGAGTCGAATGGTCTTGGTCCGAGGAAGCTGAGACGCTCCCTTCCTACTTGAATCCCAATCGAACTCGCGCACTTCCACCGAAACTGGGTGACTGCGCCCTACTAGATGGGGATTTGTATGCAAAATGTCACTAAAAACGCCATTTCGTTCCTATTAAAGCACGGATGACCGCGATTGGCCCATATGTTGTAGTCTTTTGGACGCTGAGTCGACTGGTTTTGGTCCGATAAGGCTGCGATGTAGCGTTCCTCCTTTATTCCCAATCGAACATGGTTGAACAAGCGGTCACGTGCTCCTGCGTACACCAGTCACCTGGTCACCACGCCAGCAGGGTACAACTTACTAGCCTGTTTGACCTTTTTTGGGTGCACTCCTGTCACTCGAGTTGAACTCGAGTTGAACCTTGGTGTGAAATTTGTCGCCTGCTGGCGTGGTGACCAGGTGATTTGGGCACCCAGGAGCACGTGACCGCTTGTTCAACCATGTTCGATTGGGAATAAAGGAGGAACGCTGCATCGCAGCCTTATCGGACCAAAACCAGTCGACTCATCGTCCAAAAGACTACAACATATGGGCCAATCGCGGTCATCCGTGCTTTTATAAGAACGAAATGGCGTTTTTAGTGACATTTTGCATACAAATCCCCATCTTGTAGGGCGCAGTCACCCAGTTTCGGTGGAAGTGCGCGAGTTCGATTGGGATTCAAGTAGGAAGGGAGCGTCTCAGCTTCCTCGGACCAAGACCATTCGACTCAGCACCCCGAAGACTACAACTGGTGAAATTTTAATTTTTGCCTTAACTTCCCCTTTAAGGCCATCATTTTTTATATCTATGTTTCGCGTCAGCTCAACTTCCAGAATCATATGCGAGAGGTGGAAAGAAATAAAAAAATGCAAAATAATAAAAAAGGCTCATCAGAGGTGTATATAATTAGCTAGAACTGTACATAGCACAATAGCTCGTGCATGGTGTGCAGGGAATCGTCAAATACCGTATTTGACGACTCCCTGATGGTGTACATTCGAAAGAAAAATCCTACATCCAAGCACAACATCTGGGTTATCAGCATGAGTAAATATTCACTTTGGACAGAGGCGGCAACCGTTGGTGCCCATGCTTCGCTGGATTATTGTACTCAGACTTCAGCAGCGGTGCAAAGAGCTCCGGAACGACGCATCCTCTCAGCTTGAGGCAATCGATACGGTCTGGTGTAAGCTCATAGAATACTGCTCGCAGATGCCGAAAAAACGATTTACCAACGCTGGCCTCGAGGCCATTTCTGAATCCCAGCTTCGCCGTATGCAGCCAGTCCACACTGATGATTCGCACAATCGTACGTACACTCACTGTGCATGTTCGATTTCTTTATTTTTTTCCGAAAAAAGGCAAAACGTATGCGTGCGGACGACGCGAAACATAGACATAAAAAATGATGGCCTAATATCTCACACACTCACATCTGGCATTTGCTTGGACTTCCGTAGACTGTTCATTTGTATTATCATTATTGTTTGCATCCTCAGATTGATGCTGGATGCTGAGTCCTGAGTTCTACGGTATGCTGCATGGCTTTGATGAGAGGAGCCATAGGAGTAAACATCCACATAGTTCACTGATTACCTGTGTGTTAGAGTGGATTCACCTAGCTTATCCTGGGCCTTTCTGTGTGTGTGTGTGTGTGTGTGTGTGTGTGTGTGTGTGTGTGTGTGTGTGTATGTATGTGTGTGTGTGTATGTGTGTATGTGTGTTCCATAATATGGTGCAATGGTATGTGCAGCGGTTTCCAATCGATGGGTTGTGGGTTCGATTCCGACGATTATGGTCACACACGTCTTTCTTCTCTTTCTCAGACTCCTCCTGACTTTTCTTTCATTCTCCTGGGTGGTTACCAACAGCTAGTGCATGCCGGAGTATGTGGTGTGATGTGTGTGCGGGGAAAAAATGGAAAAGACCAAAAAGTAGGGATTCACTGGCCAGAAAAATCCACTGTGTGGTGTAGACCAGGCTGAATAGTGGCGGTCAATTCTTCAGCCTTGCAAGCTGTTGAATGGTGCAATCCAGGCACAAGTTTCTATGGCTTCTGCTATAACATCCCTATCATCGCCAGAGGCGATGATAGGGATGTTGGTCCAATGGTATGTGTGTGTGCAGCCTTGCAAGCTGTTGAGCGGTTCAATCCCAGCACAAGCAGCTATGGCTTCTGCTGTAGCATCGCTATCATCGCCTCTGGCGATCGGCGTGAAATGGTCAAAATGGTCAATTGGTATGTGTGTGTGTGTGTGTGTGCGTTTGTGTGTATGTGCGTGCATCCATCCGTACATGCATGTGCATGTGACTTGGTAGGTTGCTGAGTGAAGACTATACAAATAATAATGACTCACACTGCACTGGAAATGCCAAGTTCAGGAAGGGTGTTTGTTTGGGGGGGGGGGGGCATCTGTGCACCTGTTTGGTCTTATCATCACATGTACAGAGTGCTACAAGCCTACATGGAATTCCGCAGCGTTTCGCTAGGCACACACGTAGCCTGGGCTATGCTATCCCAGGTCTTACTGGACCAGCAGCTGCACGCTGTAATCCCCCCACCCCCCGAATGTAATGACACTGTACTGGATCATGCATAGCTGCGCTCGCTGGTCTTTCCTTCAGTGCTTCACTTCAGACCCCAGACCCAGTCACCAGGTCACCATTGCATTGCCATTGCTGGCATTGGACACGGCGCCGGCGATCACTGCACTGCGGAAGTGTTTCTTTGACGCGCGCAGCAGATCACCGTCAGTATAAAATGTAGTAGTGCATGTATAGGATATTGCACGGTTCCGAGGGGATTATTTTTCAAATCCCCAAGGC